ATATGTATGCATATATAAGGTAAAAAGGTAAAGGCCCTCCCGTTGATCGTCGATTTGCTCGAGCGGGCCCAGTAACGTCTCCATTGGAGACTTTGTTGTTACTGTGTCTGGCATATCGAATACTCTCGGTAGCTTGCCGGGCTATCCGAGAGGGGCGGAGGAATCAAACTCGGGTCGGCCATGTTGGCCGCTTGTAAGGCAAACGCCCTACCGCTGTGCTATCGCTCCCAAACAGAGGCTTCATTTCACTCATATGTAAAAGGCGTATTTCTTATTTTTGGTTTCCAGATTATTAAAGTACAGTTAAATTAATCAAGATTTGGTTTTGGTTTTGGGGTCACACAGTGATGCTCAGCCGTCACTCCAGGTGGGATCAGGGGACAATAGGAGATGTTAGGTTTTAATTTGCGTTGGCCACATGCAAGACAATTGCCCTGCCCACTATACTACCTCTCTGGCCCCTGAGTTATCATTTAAATAAAGCCAAACCCACTGGTGGAGGATGCAAAAGAGCAAGCACATGCATATATTATTCTGTTCATGGAACACATATAGAACACAGAACCAGTATCCAGAACAAAGACAACAGTTTTCAGAGTTTAAAGAAATAAGGTATTTGCTGGAAGGGTGTATTTCCTGAATTTTACCTTATTGAATGATTACACCGTTCATATGTAGAAAACTCTATAGCAAAGTATGAGGAAAAGAATATTCGTTGTACACAGTAATTCAAAAGACAAACAAATATTGTATAGATTATTAAATTTCTTAATAATTTTTTATTATTAGTGAAACACCATGAGGTACAGTTGTAGACTTACAAATTTTTGTGCTTGGGCTTCAGTTATACAATGATCAAGTACCCATCCCTCCACCAGTGCCCATTCTCCACCAACACGGATCCCAGTATCCCTCCCACCCCCCATCCCCCCATCCCACCCTGCCTCTGTGGCAGGGCATTCCCTTTTGTTCTCTCTCTCCTTTTGGGTGTTGTGGTTTGCAAAAGAGACATTGGGTGGCAATCATGTTCGGTCTATAGTCTACTTTCAGCATGCATCTCCCATCCTGGGTGGAACTTCCCAACACCCTTTATTTGGTGCTCCCTTCTCTATCTGAGCTGCCTTTATCCCTAGAGTATGCAGCTGGCCACCAAGCCATGGAGTGAACCTCCTGGTATTTATCACAGCTATTCTTGGGTGTTAGTCTCCTGAAATTTATATGGAACAATAAGCCCCCACAAATAGCTAAAGCAATTCTTGGGGAAAAAAATGGGAGGAATCAACCTCCCTAACTTCAAACTCTACTACAAAGCAGTAATAATTAAAACATCATGACACTGGAACAAAGGCAGAGCTGCAGATCTATGGAACAGGGTTGAGTATACTGACATCTCCCCTCAAACATATGATCATTTAATAATTTTTTTATCTAAGCATTGATGAATGTAATTTGTCAGTATGTGAAGACTACAGTGTATAAAGCACCGTGATGCATATTCACCAAAGATGACGCAAATATGAATGATGTGTTACCTTTCTTGCAATAATTCAGAGAAAAGCACAAAAAAATTCACTGCTGGAGGAAGAGAAGGGCTATCAGATAAGCACTTAATAATGGCTAAGTGTAGAAGTAACCATTCTTGCTATCCAAAATCAAATAAATAGTCTTCATTATGCATACTGTAAAAAAAAACTCTTTAGCCTGATTAATGGTTAATTATTTTATTCCTATATAACAACCAAAGCTGCAGCTAGAAAAATGAGCATTAAAACCCATCCCAGAAGGATGCATGCAAGGAAGTGGGGGACTTCTAAACACAGATGCTTAGGAAATTGAACAACCATAACACGGTAGAAAGCAATTCAAACTGAACCTTGAGCAAGTCTATGGAGTTTAGATTAGAACACCTAACTGAAGAGATTTTTATAAGTCGGATATGAAATGAATTTATTCCTTCACTCCCCAGTGACTTCATGGGCTATATAATCAGGGAGTGTTACTTGTTACCAATAACTCCTCCACAATTTTCTCCTTTGTAAAAGAAACATTGTGGGTACATTAGGACATTAGGCTCCTAGGTGTCAGAAAACTCCTTTTGTGTTCACCAATGCTAATGACAGCTCTTGGCACACAGTAGAAATTTGTTACATATCTATTGACTGAATCAGTCAATGTTTATTGGATTACTTTATTCAAATATTTATCAGTGCTGGAATTAAGACATGAAATTATATTTAAAATTGCTATTTGAGGGACCAGAGGATTAGTACAGTGGGTAGGGCGTTTTCCTTGCACACGGCCGACCCTGGTTTGGCATCCCATATGATCCCTGAGCGTCGCCGGGAGTAAGCCAGGAGGTGTGACCCAGAAAGAAAAAAAATTACTCTTTGAGTTTTAAAATTGAAAATAACTTAATGATGCTGTCAACACGCATCAACTTTAAAATGCTAAACTACAGCTGCTAAATGTTATAATTATAAAAATAACACTCATGTTACCATCGATCACTGAGTTTTGTATAGCACTTCATCCTTTTCAAAAGTTCTTTTGGGTGCTTGAGCGATAGCACAGCAGGTAGGGAGTTTGCTTTGCATGCAGCAGACCCAGGTTCGATTCCCAGGATCCCATATGGTCCCCTGAGCACTTCCAGGGGTGATTCCTGAGTGCAGAGCCAGGAGTCACCCCTGAGCATCGCTGGGTGTGACCCCAAAATTTAAAAATAAATAAATAAATAAATATATAATAAAAACTGACACTTAAAGAATTTTGACACCTATGTTTGCACAGATAGTGACAGAAAAGGCAAATTTGAAGTTCACTGCTATGGGCCAGCAAGGTACTAAATCATCTCTTCATACTAAATAATAAATAATACGGTGAAGAAAAAAATTATTTAGAGTTTGTGAATTTTGACTCTTGCTAGAATATAATAATGTCATACTTTTAATATTACATATTCATATCAACTATAATTTCTTATTTTTTCAATGATTAAGAAAAGCACTTCAAAATTTTGGCCAATAGTTCCTAGGTTATTAACATTGTAAAGTGAGGGCATTTGAATTTGTCTTTATTTTTTAAATGTATAGAAATTTGTTTTTAATATTTTGTTATACAATGCGGGTATTAGGCAAATTCTGTTGAAGTGCAGTCTGAAAGGAAGAGTCAGATCAAAGAATAATCTTACCAGACCATATGACGCACTGGAAAGATCCAGAAGAACAGGTAGCCTCCTGAGAAATTGAGGGACACTTTGTTCCCTGAAAAAAGGCATATTTTCAAGGGGCACTGAGCCATTTTTTTCTAAAGTTGAGTGGGGACAGTAGGCAGGATAAGTTTGGGAACTCTGTTTTAGCCTAAATCCTACACCCTCTCACATGAAAGAAAACAAACAAAATTCCTTTCCCTCCAGGGGTGGAAGTATTATGAAAAAGGGGTGTTCTCTTGATTTCAGTTTTTCAAATTATTTCACACACATTTCTTTTCAATAAGAGTTCACGGCTCTCACTCTATTTGAGTCATAATTAATATGAAGAAAAAGGTTTTCTAGCCCCTTCAAATGTGTTTTACAAAAGAAAAAATTTCCTTAGCACCATACCAAAGCAAAAAACCCAGTTATATAATGAGAAAACACTTGCTATTTTTTGTAGTACTGGCATTTAAATATGTTTATATCCATCATTTTCCAGCATGTTTCAAGATTGGCTGTGTATTATCTTTTTTTCCCCACCACTAATAGAACTCCTTACACTAATACTCTAGTATTATGTAAATGTATTTTATCCAAATATCTCATATCCATAAGTAGTTTATTCACTATATCCCAAATGTAATATACCAAACAATAACTCCTTTGTCAAAGGGAGACAATTCATTAAAATTCAACCATCATTTGGTCAGGATAAAACAGCAACAGTATAAAAATTGATGTTGTGAAACTTAAAAAATGAGGGAATAAGGAAAGTGTAAATCAGGAAATTGCAGGGCTGCCCTCTAGGGCCATTATTGGGTCACTTGTCTGAATTCTAATATTACAATTGTTTTACAAAAAGTCTCCAACTTATTAGACTGAAAGGGAAGCCAATTTACAGTTAGGTGACTTGAATATCTAGGGCATTCAATAAATGAGAACATGATGCCACTAGGGACCTAAGAGTAGAAAAGGCCTAACACTTGAGCACTGTTCTATGACTCGGTTTTTAAAAGTGAATTGTTATATGATTTAGAAAGCACTTTTTCATACTTTGTTGATTTGCATTTAAGTATCCTAGTGAATAACAAGTTTAGAACTCCAAGTATAGTTTTGCATAAAGCATTTGCTCTATTAAAAAATAGGAAGTGCAGAAATAGTAACAACTAGAAATTTACAACCAAAGCAACTCAGAAATTTTCAAACAAAGCAACAAAACTACAGACACTTTGCTGTAGCAAACCTTACAGTGTTACGAAGGTGACCAATGACTTTTTTTCACACAGAATGGAAGTTCACAATAGTTTATGAAATCAGAGAGGTACATTGTCATCTGTGATATAGGTATGATTTGTTTTAAATTAGATATTTTAAAAAGTTGAAAGCATCGGATTTATATTTACCAACACCTAGTTGCCAATATTAACTCTTTCATTCTAATAATTTATATGTATTTTTTTCACACTTGAAAATTTAGGAATTTTTTTCTGATTAGAGAAAAGGGCTAGTTGACATTGTGTAAATGATTTATTTGTTAACCATTTTTTAGTTTTCCTCCTAGATTGTCATATTTTAATATTATTCACACTGCTTACAGAATTCCTTCCATTATGTCTAAATACGCTCTTTCATTCATTCAGTCACCAAAGAAAGTCACATTTGTCTCTTTGCTTCTTATAGCCAAAACAAATACATTTCCTAAAATCTTTCTTTTCTATGGCAAATAGGAAGAGTTTGGTTTTGGCAAAAATATTTTATTACTAAGATTTTGTTCTGCTATTTATTTCCTCCTCATACGAAATGAGGTTTGTAGATGAGCAGTGTGTGTGCTGTTCCTGCAATAACAGGTCAATGAGTGGAGTGGATGAAGAAAACTCCTATTTCAACTCCCTGATCCAAAAATTCACTTAACATATTGTCCTCAGATAGAGGACATATTAGATATTAAACTGATAAGAACAGATACTACAACTGATCTTAGTCAAAGGCCAAGAAGTGACAGAGATGAGTATCTACAGATGATCATTTATATATATCGTATAGTAGATATAAAATTTGCATATATTATTCATGGTTTATTTTATTATATAAATCATATCTTGCTTTAGTTCACATATTATAAAAGCAGATGTTTATATGAATTTTATTTGAATCATAAAAAGAGAGAACTTTATTTCCATCTTACACAGACTTTATTGCATTTATTTTTAGCCTTTGCACAGAGGTAAGCTTTTGCACAGAGACAAAAGTGGAAATCACCGTAAAAGACATCTAAAAGTTCTCAAGCTCATTGTGCTCATATACAGACATAGATACCTATTGTCTAGTCTCCACAAGACAATTATAAGGAAACGTTGCACAAATAAGAGTATCTGTTAAGTGATTTCCTTAATATACTTTTTGCTTTATCAAAATTCCACCTGCTGTTAGAAAGTATTTGGTGTGATCACTTCTCTGTTATGCATGTGAAAGAAGAAACCAAAGCATAGAAATAATTCTTTTAGTATACAGTAGAGAGGCAGAGCAATGTTTCTTTCAAACAATCTGTTAATTAACTATACAGCTAATAAGTAAAAGACAAAAAAGCAAAGCTATTTTTTGTTAATTTTTGCTCAATAGCTTTGCTCTTAACAGAGATCAAAGAGTGAGGCTGGCTTGCAGCTCCTGACATCTCATTAGGTGAAAAGTTTGTCACTGCCACAAAAAAAGTGCAAATCACACATCTTGTTTGATGGTGTTGGTATACTTGTTTGAACAAGCCCCATTGTTCAAGCTATGAAAAATGTGCTGACAGGTGTTGTCTTAGCAAAATTACAGCTGGAACAAAGCACCAGGAGTGGAATACTGTATACAAAAACAATTATTTCTATGCCTTGGTCTGTAACCTGAAAGTTCAACATCCCTTTACCACACCCATAAGACCCCTTTGACTCTTAAATTCCCTTCCTCCTCACCATTCCGATATTCTTAGTACTTCAGAGTGAGTGGCTATAGTCTGTTTTCATCTACCTAAGTCTTAATTTCCAAATTTCTGTAAAAAGGTGTACATGTAAGAACTGTCTCATTCACTATGCTCTATAGATTGAGAAAGAAGTCTTAATTATAAAACAAAAAAATTAATAGAAAGAGAGAACAGGTATAGCAAGGCAATAAGAGATATCTATTATCACACTAGTAGTTTTTCATTCGAAAAGATGTCACCAAAATCGCCATGTCAAAATGTCTTGCCATATACAAAGAACTTTCAGGTTATAGTCCGCAGTTGGTTCAGAGAAACATTTACATTCTATTCTATTACATATTGCTATGAGACATGAGTTTACAGATTTTATAAGTCATTCAACAATTAGTGTTAGCGTTGGTTAAAAACCATTAAATAAGAGAATTCTGTCTTATAACTGCTTTAAGTACCCTTTATTTTCATAAGATTTCTTTGTTTTTATTGCCCGATGTATTGCTATGCAATCTCACCTTAAAAATATCTCACCTTAAAAACTTTCACAACACAGCTGAAAAAGGCAGTGTTTGATGATGATACTCTTGCTGGAAGTATTTGCATTTTTTATGACGGATAAATTACCTAAATCAGAGAGGTAGATTTTGAATTGTAAAGTTTTAGGCAATAACAGAAATATGGGTAGTAATTTTTTTAGAAAGCCAATAACACAAATCAAATACCAAAATACTCCACTAGTCTTAGTTCTGTGCCTCTTGAGAATTTTTTGTGGGAAATAGAGAAATTTTCATTATGTAGAAAATTACTTATGGCTAAAACAATAAAACATTATTAGGTATTTTTATATGGGAAGATGGGTTGAATAATCATTTTTAGAAAGGAATAATGTAAAGGATTGCTCATCTTTCACTTCAAAAAGAAGCCACACTGGACTGGAACAAAAGTACAGTGGGTTTGTCATTTGCCTTGCATGTGGCTGACCTGGGTTCATGTCTAGCAACATGTCTAGCAACTCGAGTGGTCCTTTAAGAACACTAGAGTGATTCTTGAGGGGAGAGGCAGGAGTAACCACAGAGCACCGCCAGATGTGGCCCAAACCCCACATGCAAAATAAAAATATAAAAATCAGAGAAGCACCACTATGCTAGCTTTCATAAGACTTTAAATTTTATTTGGTTTATGATGCCCTTCCGTTTACATTTATACACTGAACTTCATAGCATATCATTATGAAGTAGTTTTTCCATATACTGAATCAAAATACTTCTATATTCTCTATATTTTAAATCGAAGAAACACTCATTTATTTAATCTGATATAAGCGAAGTGAAATTCAGCATCTATATTTTTTCCAGAAACACCAAAGTTCAAAATTTCAAAAGTAAAATATTTTTGTTTTTTGTCTTTTTGTACCACAGTCAGTGGTGTTCATGCTTACTTCTGGCTTAGTCATAGAAATGTCTAGAGTACTGAGGCCCAACCCTCAGCGGCTATATGCAAATCAAGCAGGTTACCTGTTGTACTAGCTCTCCAGTTCAAAACTTCAAAATCTGAAGAAAAGTCTCTAATATTTAATTTTTTTTATTTGTCTGCAATCTTTACAGCTAAATCAGGTTATTCGGATTACAGCTAGAGTTAAAGTGACAACATGCATGCTGTCACTGTAGCTCTGTCCTCCCATTGTTCATTGATTTGCTCGAGCAGGCTCTAGTAACGTCTCCATTGTGAGACTTGTTGTTATTTTTTTTTGTATATCAAATATGTCACGGGTAGCTTACCAGGCTTTGCCGTGCAGGCGGAATACTCTCTGTAGCTTGCAGAGCTATCTGAGAGGTACAGAGGAATCGAACCCAGGTCAGCCACGTGCAAGGCAGAAGCACTACCTGCTGTGCTATCACTCGAGTCCAACATGCAAACAATCATGAAAATATTTCATAGATAATTAACTAACTTATTTTAAAATAAGTTACATATATAGAAGTGCAGATGGACATATGTAAATATGGAGACAAACAAATATAGCTTGTCTTTTATATATGAAAATATCTTGTTGATAACAAAGTATATACTCAAGGAAAGAAAAGGAAGGAAGGAGAAAGGAAGGAAGGAGGCAGGGACGGAGAGTGGGAGGGAGGAAGCCCATATCAGAGTAAATGAAATACCATTAAAAGTCAACATGGAAATCCACTAGCATATTGGGAAAATATTTATATGGATTGAGTGTACAATGAAGTTTAATGGGTTCATTCTAAATTCCCCAAGTGCTAGGCTAGAAAGTAAAACCGAATCCAAGAACCCAAATATTATTACTCTGCATCCCTAATATCCAACAAATTTGACAAGGAAGGCATCATCTTTAAATAATATTGATTGCTTAGACTACTGACAAACTGTATTTTAGAATAAAGTTTGTAAAACTTATTTGGTTGATTCACTTTTAAGAAAAACAAAACATTAACTTAGTCCATTTGAGACTCTCCCTTCTTTAGGTGAACAAACATAAAGTACCCCCAACTGCAACCAAGGCTACCCCCTTGATTTTTCCAGCCTCTGACCCAGCTCAAGAAACAGATTTACTCACTTCAAAAAATACTTCTAGATGACAGTGCCAGAAAACATTAAATTAAACCTTTGCTTCTAAAAGAAATTTTCACTAATTTAATGTAATCAAGTGACAATTTATTCAATAATGCCTATTGTGTACATTTGTGTCTGTTGTGCACTACCCTTAAAATTTTCTCTAATCTAAATTTTTTCACATTCAGTTTGACATAATTTTATAGTTTTAATAAAATAGAGGATAATTCTGCCAATATTTTTTCCTTTTCTTGTTCACTTATCTAAAGAAGAAATTTCTTGGTATCTTCAGAAATCATCACGCAGCACTATCACGATCACGATCACGACCACCCTGTTGTTCGTCGACTGCCTCGAGCAGGTGCCAGTAACGTCTTCTTCGTCCTAGCCCTGAGATTTTTTTTTTTCTTAAAGTGCCATATTCAAGGCTTTTTCAGGGTTAGGAGAATGAGACCCATCATTGTTACTGGTATTTGGCATATTGGGTATACCACGGGGAGTTTGCCAGACTCTGCCGTGTGGGCATGTTACATTTGGTAGCCTGCCAGTTTGACCGAATTAGGAATGAGATGATAAGATGTCGCGCGGCCGCGAATGCGGCTGCGCGCTTCCGGGAGCTGAATGTGATAATCTCTGGATCCTGGCCGTTGTTGGAGTTACACGGCAGTTGGTGGGTGTAACTGTCTAGTTACTGGCAGGTCCAGTCCCAAACTGTACAGGCTTGGAGATCTCAGCCCCGGGTCCCACACACCTGGGTTCCTCTGTCAGTTCTTTTATGCGTGAGGCTCATCCAAGTGTGTGGAGAGTGCTCCCAGCAAGGCCTTGGTTGGGCCTCGGTGGTCTTCAGCTGTTGGGCCCTGGTGGAGACAGTCAGGCATAGGGTAGGAGACTCTGTCTTGTTCTCTCCCAGGAGCTGAGTGTGATGATCTCTGGATCCTGGCCGTTGTTGGAGTTACACGGCAGTTGGTGGGTGTAACTGTCTAGTTACTGGCAGGTCCAGTCCCAAACTGTACAGGCTTGGAGATCTCAGCCCCGGGTCCCACACACCTGGGTTCCTCTGTCAGTTCTTTTATGCGTGAGGCTCATCCAAGTGTGTGGAGAGTGCTCCCAGCAAGGCCTTGGTTGGGCCTCGGTGGTCTTCAGCTGTTGGGCCCTTATTTTGAATTGTATTATCTATAATACGCTGTGGGAATTTTTACTAGAAATTAAAATCAGATATGTTTGGAAAATTATTATAACTATGTACCATGGTTGATTGATGCACAAAAGTTGCTTTGATATTTATTTATTTATTTATTTGGTGCCACATCTAGCTAAGCTCAGATTTTCTCTTGGGTCTATGATCATGGGAATCATTCCTGGGAGGACTCAGGTGACTATATATGGTATAGGATTTCAAACCAAATTTGACTGCATGCAAAGCCTGGCAAGCTATTGTAATGTATTCAATATGCCAAGCACACTAAG